GCCCCTATCCGCAGTTGCAGTGTTCATTCACCGTGGATGGAAAGCTTCGTACCGTCCACCATCGTTGATGTAATCTGGGTCTCCTCCGCGGTCTCTCCAATTTTCTCCATCGTCTCGCGGTCGCACACCGAGTGGGGCGAACCACTGTCCACCAGGGCCTCGAGGCGTCACCCATTGTAGATCACCTTGAGTAAAAAAGGTTGTTGCCGCTCCGAGTAGCTGTAGATGGTGTTGCTTATAGGTTCATAGGGTATATCGAATATATATTGCCTAGGTCTTGCGCTCAAAGCTTCCGACTCAATATCAACTTTCACCTGAGTAGAGCTAGAAGAATCAATCCGAGGCTGGTACAGCTTCTCCTGAGCCTGGAACCTTCCCCTAAGTCTTTGCCGCCGTGAAGGCCTCACCTATGTGGAACGGCGGGAAGCCTTAACACCGTGCTGCTGTGAGAGAATATTAACTAGTCGCAACACTTGAGCCTTATGAATGATTCGGAGTAGAGTTCCTGTATTACCTGGTACCGGAAAAATTTCTGACTCTCCCTTAATAAAGGCTTTAATAACAACAAGAATTAATATTCTTAGTTAAAGTATCTTTATAGGATAACTTTAACGAATTCTTACTTGTCGAGATGTACAGCTGGAGTTTCCCGGTTGGTGCAGATTATTGTTTCGCGGAGTCTCCATTTGTCTCGGCGATTTCCCCTGGTGCCAGCCGGTCGTGACGTTTTTTAAATTCGCGCCATCATAATTTTCTTTTTTCGCCCTCTCTGAAGCTGCCATATTGCCCGTTTTCTGCTTCGGGGGTGCCGCACTGTTCTTACCCTTGAGCTCCATGCGTGCGTTTTCTATTTTCCAACAGGCCAACATACGATGTCATGTAGCACAGCAAAATTTGCGCGTCAAATGTTTGCTAGCCCCGCACGTCTCATCTTTGCTAGCCGCTGCTTCGCACCGCCCTTATCGTTCTCCATCGGGTCGGAATTTGTGGGTGGTGCCGATCGCTTCGTGCCACTATTTGGCCGGTGGCGTCGTCTTTGTTCCGTAGTAGCTACTGTTCAACGCGTCGAACTATTCGATCAGTGCTGCCCGAAACTGTCAGAATCCCAGCCACTAACCACTGGGATAAAAGGGCTTGTTTGTGTAGCGGGTGAGTGCGCCCATAACCCCCTAGGCCAACGTGCCTGTAACCCTTCCCTAGGATCAATCGGGGATCACTAGTGGACCTCTGACACCCCCCCGCACTGGGATGCCCGAGGTGCACACACCAGGATTCGAACCCGAGACCTTCGCTCTGATACCATGTCAGAATCCCAGTCACTAACCATTGGGATAAAAGGGCTTGTTTGTGTAGCGGGTGAGTGCGCCCATAACCCTCCAGGCCAACGTGCCTGTAACCCTTCCCTAGGATCAATCGGGGATCACCAGTGGACCTCTGACAGAAACTGCGTCCACGTCCCTTCGCATTGGACAAATTTGTTGTTTATCCACAAAATAGTTGGGTCTTGTAACAGTGTTGCTGCGAGCCGTATTCGCATTGCGTCTTGGGTGGGGGTCGTGCATCCAACAGGTTCAACGTAAATTTCGAATTTTGAATTCACGGGTCAAGGCAATAGAAGGTCACCACCGTCAACAATTTCGACAATGCAATTGCTGAGCTTTTATCGACAGGATCTAAAACACTTAGTATTCTCGACTGCCCTTGAAGCTCAGTGTGTCAGAGGTTTTGTACCCGCGCAGCTTTATAATGTGGTGGTCAACCCTTTTTATTTGAATGGGGAGCAGGGCCTGAGACTCATTTTAGACTACGCTTTCTCATTAGTGTTGGTCCAGGAATTAAAGTTTCTATCAAGGTCCCTGATAAAAAGAACCCTGAAAAATCACTGTTGTAAGCTAAAAACAAACTTTCTAGGAAAGTAGTGGCTTAGTTAGTAGAATAGGGACTTGTGAAGTTGGAGATTTCGGGTTCGAATCTTGTTGCCTGATTCTGCCAAGGAGGTGCGGTCACCGTTCTGGTCAGCAGAAATTGTCGCCGAAATTTTTGCCAGATTCTGTAAGTCTATGCAATTTCGCCAACAAGTATAACCTCGATAATGTAAGATTCAAATCACGCTCCCCAGGTAAAAGTTGGTTGAATTTTCGGGCCTGTACATGAAAGTTAGTTGAAAAACTAGTGTGAAAATAAACATTTAGAGCGTGTTCCTACGGCCTCGTATTAGGCAACCTTGTATCAAATCTGTGTCGAACCGCACAAAAACGTATCCAAATGCAATCGAACACACTTAAACGTATTACATCCCGCGAAGCTGATACGAGGTGTAGGAACATGCTTTTAGACTATTCAATCAGCCTCGGGGCCTAAAAAAACCCTAAAAATCAGCTTTCAAAAAACAAAAAAAATCAAGGTAAAATTCTTGAAATTTGAGGCCCTAATGGGGAGAAAGAATGCTTTCGCATTGTATTCACTTGCAAATTTCTGAATTTTTTTCATCCAACTCAGATAGACAACGGCCGCTCGCGATTGCTTGATCGACATCAACTGTTCCAGTTCGTCGTTATATGACAACGTGTCAGGATTCTCGTCAACATCGCATGCATCTGGTTCAGATCCGCTACACATCCGATTCCAACCGTCAATTTCGACTGATCAAGTGCTTATCCACGCGTCTGCTTGACATTTAACGCCTTTCTGAGCTGTCGGATCCACCTTCGACCGCAGATCAGGGCTTCAGATTCGTTTTGGGGCACCCTTTGTAATCAGGGTTCTAGGTGTAGTCAATCCAGATGTGTAGGGTATTTTTTTTCTCTGACAAAGACAGTGTAAAGATTTTCCTAGGATGAAACTGTCCGACAAATTTTGGCCTTACACTGAATTTCCCAGCGTAACTTTCTTCTCACTTTTTCTCACTTTTTTTTCTTTTTCTTTTTTTTTTTTTAGTGAAAGCTTACACAACAGGTGCACAAGCAAAACACTTCAGTCGTAACTGATTCTGCGGGCTCAAACCAGATGGTGTACCCGGCCCTCCCTGCGAACCTACGGCGGTTTCACGAAAGTTCTCGGGTTCGACCAGATCGACTGGAAGTCCCCGTGCCACCTCAGACCCACTGCCATGTTGTCGCAAATTCTCCGCATCACGCATGCTTCGTCATCCGCCAGATTCCAACGTGCCTTATCCTTCCGAGCCTGCTTACTTGGCCTACTATAGTAAACCCGCGCGTGTTTGTTGAACTCCACGTTTATCCTCCGGAGCACCTTCCGAGCCTGGAGCTTCTTGACCTTTTTTAGCGACACATCACACCTCCCCAGCCAGATCTGGTGCACCGCTATCGCCATCATAGTCGCTTCCGGAAAACCCGACTTCGTCTCCTCCGCCCCGAACAACAGGCCTGCCAGGTCATCCACGTGCCTCCCCAGCTGCATCATTCATAACGCCGACTTGACCGCAGCCACCACTGGCAGAATGTGGGGGCACTCCAACAGGCAATGCTCCAGCGTCTCTGTTCCGCCACAGTGCGGACACGTCACCACCCCGCCGCCCAAGAAATAGACCCTCTCCCCCACCTGGAGGTTGAGATTCTGCACCCTTAGTAGGACATCTCTCGCCCTTGCCGGGACAGCGAGGGAGTCCCTTACCCTCCTCCCCCGTTCCTAATCGATGCTCCTTCCCGCCCGCGCTTCCCACTTTGCCCGTTTTTCCGCCACAGCTTCCGCCCCTTTGCTCGGCTCCCTGAGTTTCCTCAGCGGAACCACCTCCATCCCATCAAACAATTCTGACAACAGCAGCCTTACTCTGGGGTCACCTGCAACCCCCACCACACGCCCCTGGTCGAGCCTCACTTGGGTTACACTTTCACAGTGCAATTCCACTCTGATGTTCCACGCAACACGTTCCCCACTTCCGTTCAGGGCTTGCAGCCCTACCCTCCTGCCGTTGGTCCCGCACACCTCCCAGAGGCACCTTTTCTGACTCGGTAACGTGGTGCTTACCACCGGCGAGACTCCCTTAATCTCCTCCGCCGTTAACGGGGCAAGCAACCACTCCCTCCACTGCGCCGGGGCCGCATGAAAAGCCTTGAGCGCCATCTCCGCACTCTTCTTGTCGCCCAGCTCCCGGACTAGCTCATCCTCTGTTTTTACGAGTACCGTGCCATCCCACTTGTGCACTATCATATCCTGCATCCGCCACTTCCGTATTAGCTCCGTCCCCTTCTGACCTCCAAACGGGGCCTTCCCACGGTGCGGAATACTGCTGTTGAAACACAGATACTCCCCCGCCACATCCCAACGTGAGGCTGCACCAGGTACTATCACTACCGACGATTTCAATACTGTCTTGCAAAGCTTAGCCCATCTCCTGCTCCGAAATAAGCCCCCCCTTAACACCGCCTTTGCGCATACAGTGTAGCCCACCCCAATGGCAGGTCAGCAGCACTCTAAGTCACACCTCTTCTGAGCGGACACCCCTGAAGCAACGCCAAGCCCACATACCGCAGAGCGACACTGTCTACTCTCCCCCTCGGGTCGACCACTCCCAGTCCACCCTGTTCCCTTGGCGCGTAAATCAGATCCCCAGTCCATAACCTGAAATGCCTCTCCGTATCCGCGTGGTTCCCTGACACAAAATTCTCTATCAGTGTTTCCAACCTCTTCCACAGCAGGTCCTCCGGCGGGTACACCTGGGCCTGGAAGATGAACACCGGCAGCACATAGCTGTTGATGATCGTCACCCGCGCACCCGTCGTGAGATACTTGCTATGCCACTTGCTTAGCTCCCCCGCTGCTTTGTCAAATGCCTTCTCCCACGTGATCTCCCCATTCCCACCTGGCGTAATCCAAACACCCAGCAGCCTTTCCGCTACATCTTTCTTCACCCACTTAAATTCCGTTCCGTCTGGCGCGCTTTTGTCCACGTTGCACCCCAGTGGCAGGAGCGCAGACTTCCCCTTATTCACTTTCAGGCCTGACGCGTCTGCGAAGTCCTTCAACACCTGCTCCGCTTCCTACAGCTGATGCACACCGTCCAGCAGCAACGTTGTGTCATCTGCGTACCCAATGTACGCCAGCCGCTCGCAACCTTCCTCTCCTATCCCCAGCTTCCGTTCCTCCACCAAGCAGTTTAGTGGCTCCACCGCACGCAGGAAAAGGTAAGGGGCCAGCGGGCACCCCTGCCTCACCCCTTTATGCATTTGAATCTTCTCACCCACCCAACCGTTGACGCACAGTCGCGTGTGAACGTCTTTGTGCAGTGCCTCGATCCAGCCCACAAACCGCGGTGGAAAGCCCAGCTTCGCTATCGTCTCTAGCATGAAATCCCGACGCACCGAGTCGTATGCCTTCTCAAAATCAATCAGCAGGAGGTACCAGTCCCTGTTCTTGTTCTTGGCCGCATCGATTAGATCCGCTACCAGCGACACCGCATCCGTAAGTCTCTTCCCTGGCAAGAACCCGTACTGCTCCCCTGAAATCACTTGGGTAAGAACCTTTTGCATCCTTGAAGCCACCACCTTCGCCAGTATCTTATACGTGCTTGTCAGCAGGGTTATCGGTCTGTAATTCCTGACATCCGTTTCATCTCCCTTTTTGTACAGCAGGATCGTAACCGCCTCGTTCACCACCTCCGGTAAGTCCCCCGTCTCCATGAAATCCTTGACCATCTTCATCACAGGACCCTTCAACGACTCCCAGTGAACCTGGTAAAGCTCCTTAGGTAATCCGTCCTTCCCAGGGGATTTGTCATTCGCCAGCTCCCTTATCGCTTGTCTGACCTCCTCTGTCCAGTCCCGGGACAGCTCTACTACCGATGCATCCTCCAGCACTCTCCGCGGCGACCATTGCAACGACCGCGCCTCATCACCGCCTGCAGAGCCAACATCTAACGCCGTCGTGAAATGCCTTGTGGCCTCACCGAGCACCGCCTTCGCCTCTGAGTAACTGACCCCATCTCGTACCAGCTCCTTAATACCCGTCTTTGCCTTCCTGCTCCTCACCAGGGCTGAGAGCAGGGCAGTCGGCGCTTCTCCGTCTAGTTGCACCTTTAACCCCGTCCGTGTCTGCAGCAAATTCCTCCTGCCGTCCCAGTACCTCTTCAGCATCGCCGCGCGACATCTTCACGAAGCTCCAAGGCGGCGGTGTGGTGTACCCGGAGCTCGTGCAATGCGTGGAGATCGTGATACGGCTGCCGGAGTCGTGGTCTGCCCTTGCAATCAACCTCAACTCCCAACAACCCCAATGGAGCGTGGATTACATCCGGGCGCGCATTCTTGAGGAGGACTTGCGGCGCCGGAGTGTGGAGCGCTCGGAGGAGGGGGCTGGCTATGGAGTTGGAGGTGGAAAGAGTGGCTTCAAGAAGAAGTGGAAGGGCAAGAACAAAGACAACCCTAAGGAGGATGGCGGCGGGGGTCAAGGGGAGGTGTGCTTCTACTGCAAGAAGCGCGGACATCGTTGGCGGAAGTGCTACCAACGACCTAAGGATTGGACCCCGCCTTCATCAAGCAACCAGCATGGTGGCAAGAGGAGTGGGGGAGTCATGGGAGCTAGTGGAGAGGAGAAGGATGAGGAGAAAGGCGGCAAATCTGAGGAGCGGAAGGCCGGGTTCTTCTTCTTCGTGAACGAAGGTGCAACCGACCTCGCTATGGCTGCCAAGGTTCTCCTACACCCTCTCACCCATTGGGTGCTTGATTCCGGGAGCTCTTGGCACATGACTCCTCGTGCGGACCTACTCGATGAGATTCAGCCCGCACCCATCTCTACAGTCAGATCCGCGACGGGCGCCAAGGCCAAGGTCATGGGCATGGGATGCGCCAAGTTCATGGGAGCGGATGGAGAGCTCGTGGGGCTGAAGAACGTGCTGTGGGTGCCGGACTTGTGCGCGAACCTGATTTCTACCGGCCGGTTGGGAGATGCAGGTGTGAACACCGAGACGATTGGCTCGGAGCGCTATCGTGCCTACAACGACAAGCGCCTCATTTGGGACCTGCGGCAGAAAGGGGATGTCCACAAGGGCATGTGGCAGATCCCGGTCCTCCCTTGGCGGAAATCGGGCAAGGCGGCAGCAGTGGCATCAGTGGAGGAGAGTGTCACTGAGGAGGAGCAGCAAGGTGTGCAAGGAGAGGAGTTGATTGGAGGAAGTGCGGCGGTGAAGGCGTCGGCTACCTCGGGCCAAGCGGATTGGGAGACTTGGCATCGGCGGCTCGCACACGTGGCTGTTTCTACATTGGAGGTGATGCACAAGGAGAAGTGCGTGCATGGGCTGCAGCTGCAAGGTGATGGTGCTCACTATGGCAGCTGTGAGGCGTGCATGCAAAACAAGTTTGCGCGGTTCCCGTTTCCACGTGCGGAGGGATCAGCCAAGGCACCATTGGAGGTGGTGCACATGGACCTGGTGGGTCCTATGAGGACGGAGGGGACTGGGGGAGTGCTGTACTTCCTCACCATGGTGGACGAATGGAACCTTGAAGCTGTCGTGCTTCACCGACGCTACGTGGGCCTCGGAGGAGGAGGATCAGTCATCAGTTGGCGGCTTTGTGTGCATGGTCGGAGGTGGACCAGTGAGCTGGAGGTCCAAGAAGCAGAGTGAGATTGCTCAGTCTTCCGGAGAGGCAGAGTACATGGCGATGTACCATGCCATCAAGGAGATCGTGCTCCTGAGGAAGCTGCTGGAGGACATGGGAGCTGAACAGCAGGGACCTACACCACTTTTCTCTGACAGCGAGGCTGCTATTGGCATGGCCAATAATCCTATCCTGAATGGGCTGAACAAGCACATGAAGATTAAGTGGCATTGGGTGAGGCAGATGGTGAAGGAGGGAGTTGTTGAGCTTCACCATGTGAAGGCTAGCAAGCAGGCGGCAGATTTTCTTACCAAGAGACTTCCCGAGAGCGCACATTGGAAGTGTGCTAAGATGTGTGGCATGGCATTGCACTAGTGTGGGCAGCGGTGTCATGAGTGCATGTGTGTTTGTGTGCATGAGTGTTTGCATGCGTGTCAGTGTGTGTGCATGCAGTCCGTTAGTCTGAGGGGGAGTTTGTTGGATGCACGTCATTCTGAGTGCATGTCATCCTAACGTCCTGCCGAGTGCTCGTGCTATTTGTGCTTGCATGATTTGCATGAGCATATGTCATTGTGCATGGCTGTTGGATAGTAACATCTCTGTGTTTTCTCCAAGTTTACATGCTTGATCATGCAGGAGCTTTCCAACGATACCAAGATCGCCTTATTCCGACCAAGATCGCCCAAGTTACAAGATTTCCAAGATTTGGATTTCTTATTACCTTTTGGGGTTATATCTAATTTGGGCGGTTATTGGGACATGACTATAAAGGGATCTTTGGTTGGGTGGTTAGGAAGGCAACTTTGACTTTTGGATTGGGGTGGCTAGAAGTTTCTAGCATGGGTTGCAAATGTTGCAACACCTAGGCAAAATCCAACTAGATTGGATTTTGCATGTGACACCTCAAGGACCTCATGATGAGGGTTGCATCCTTGCTAGTAGGAAGGTTCCTACCATCCTTCCCTAGCTCTTGGAGAACCTCTTCCCTCTCATGGTTCTCTTGGAGGTTCCCAACTCCAACTTTCTATGCCTTAATGCTTGTACTTCCTCCACCATTCTAGTCATGCACCAGCTTGACGTTTTTACTTGGTTCTCACTCTCTAGACCATCTTTCTAAGTGATTCAAATTGGAGATGGTAGCTAAGCCTAAGACGCAACATCCTACCGAGCGGATTTGCGTTTAGTTGAGAAATGAGTTCGTCGTAGCTTCTCGAAATGACGGATCCTGAACAACATGTACCAGTCTCGTCCCCCACTTCACCCTGACATGCAACAACCTGCCAGACTGATGTGGTTGTGCATCTTCAAGCTGCACCCCTTCCTTGAAACACAGGATGGCCAAACCACCTGGTTGGAGCTGCCACCGTGGCCATGCAGCACGGCCTCAACTCCGCCCAGAAGTTATGATCCGCTGGTATCCTTGTGTCTGCTAACACTACAATGTCTGCCGTTGAATTGATCCACCTTTTTACCGCCTGTTCCTTCCCTAAACTCCCTAAACCGTTGATGTTCAGGGACACGATGGTGAGTCGGATGGCGTTACTCATTATTCAACTTCCTTGAGGCCCCCTTGCATCCACAGGGCTTTGAGACAACAAAAAGGTTCTCCACTACGTCACCTGACATACAACATCCTGAGTCCTCAGCACAGCTAACAGCCAACACATGCTCCTTCTTTGCCGCAAGATGCACTACCACCCCCAGACACCCTCCTCTGAGTCCCACAGGTGAAAGAAATAGCCTCACACGCCAAACTCCTTCCGCGCGGCCGGCAAAGCGACACTAGCCTTGGAGCTGCGGGTAGCCGCGCCAGACATCGTGCCATCGCTGTGGCGCTGCGAAACAACGTGTTCCGCGGCCTGCGCAAAAGTGACCCCACACGCCTTGTCGCAACACTCCTGCACGCAGATCCACTCCTCGCGGTTCCCCCCGGTCGAGATCAGCACCAGCGCCGGGTCCTTCAGAATAAGCCTGGTCAGATCTGTGAGTCTGACTGAGGCAGCTGCGCGGATCCGACACACCCACTTCATTAGCTTGGCAAGACGACGAAAAGGGTAAGCAGAAACACTTGATAGAAGACCACATTTTATTACCATTGATCCCATGCACCCGTCCCAAAGACAGGCTCCACTTGCTGATGTTGTTCTGACGCTCCGCCACATACGCATCATGATACCTCGTCATATGAAAACCATTGCAGTAGGAGCAGAGCTGCGACGATAGTGTACCAGTAACTGCTTATCACTGTTCACAGGATCTTCCACCAGATGATGCAAACGGTACTTATCCCCCGCATGCGGCCTCACCAGGCCTTTCACTTTGTCCGTATCCATCCCCGTAACAGGATTGACGACGCGATGGAAGCAGCAGCCTTCCTTAAAGGCCGACCTCCCACGCACGACCAGCTTCACCACCATCGGCATCTCGCAAAGCATATCAGGCGTAATGACCGCATCCACCCCCTTGAACAGGACCTCCACCAGCGCAGGATCAGCCGCACGCGCCTTGACATAAGCCGGATCCACCGGGTGCTGCCAATCCAGGTTAATCCTTGTCTTCCCATCCATACAGACGTGGACGATCCCATGACGCCAGACGAAGTTAGCGTCACGCGCCCGATCAAACGACACCTGAAGACGGCAGTACTGCTTCTTATTCAGGTACTGAGTACCCAGCTCTTGAAACTTGGTAGTAGACTGCACATCAACCCCCAAGTCCTTTTTCCAGATTCCGAAAAGCGCACGCAGAGTCGCCTGCACCCGCGTCAACTCCGGCTTGAACTCAACAGGAACCAGCAGAGTGATGGCAAACCGGACACGCTGCGCCACCTCGCCCTTCGCAGCAGCCTCATAACGCTCCTCGGGGTCATCACTCAGGTAACCGTCATCCTCATCATCCTCATCAGCCGTAGCCACAGCATTGACTCCCTCACCCTTGTCCTGATGCTGACCGTTCTCCCCCGTTCCGTGGCAGGTTTCGACGCATCCGAGCCTTCCTTCTGAGGCAGCACAGCTCCGTAAGTCGCCGTCGCAAGTAAGTCTCGCGCAGCATCTTTAATGCCTTGAGTCGTTCCGCCAGGCTGAAGAGCTTCCTTATCCGCTTCCGTGAACTTTCTTCTCACTATTATATGGCACTACATCAATAGTAGAATCAATATATGCATTGCTCCTGCTTCACAAGGCCTTGCACACATTCCAGTACCGGCATCTACTTCTCATTCGCCTAACATGGTCAAACGACTCTACAACAGCTTCAACAAAAAGAGCCTCCCCAGGGTTTTTGCCACTGAAGATGGACACCACCTCGTACCAGTCCACTTCGTAGTGCAGCAGGGAACAGTGCATCAAATGCTCCAGTGTGGTATCTGAGAGGCAGCCACGCCCCCTCATCTTGATCAAATTCTGTTTGTTGAACCCCCTCTCGCACTCGACTGTGCTCAGTGGGTGGTTCCCCGGATCACCACTTCGGCTGTGGAGAGAAGATGATATTGAACAACTTCATTCAGCGCCATCAAAAGATGGACAAGTGGGAGGTGAAGGCAG